TCTGTCGAAGCATTTTGTCGATTACTCTTTAGTATGTCAGGAACAAAGGAATAAGGTATCGATCCACAACTTTCGGGCAGACTTTGCGCAGTGGTGCCAAAAGATGCATACAGAATCATCAAAATTCCAATCTTGGTACCTCGAATATGGCCGAGATGATTTCAGACAAGCCATCTCAGCAAATATAAACTTTTTGTTCAAGGAATCGGTGGGTGTAACGTCAAAGCTTCGCTCATTGTACATCTGGAAGGAAACTTTGGAGCTTACAAGCATTAAAGAACACCCAATCAAAGAGAATAAGACAATCGTCACGCCATACGTTTATGAATGCTTCAGTCACCTAAGATTCGGTCACCTACTCAAGCCTCTGATACCGATTATATTTGCAGAGAATTTACAAGAACCAGAGGATCAATCACTATCGCTTTCACCGAGACAGACACGCATTGCTTGTGAACCCACTCTGCCAATCAAGCCTCAACACAAATTGTTCTCTGGTGGTAAAGCCGATCTGGGAGCCGCAATGAGCCAGAATGGGGGCGTGAAACGGCAGCAGATGCTTGATGCTATCAAAATAGGAGATGTATTATCAGTCACCAAGGATGGACCAAGTTCTGTGTGGAAAGACGAGTCCAGCAAATGGAAAACAGAAGACGATTGCTGGTATTTGTATGTACAAATCAAGCATCGAAGTCCTCGTGGCAAGTACTCTTTCGATGGTATTTGGCTTTATAAGCCTTCTGATACTAGTTGTGCAAAGATGAAGTATCCATACGCCAAAGAACTGTTTCTCAGTGACAACTGTACTTGTGGGTCTCGGGATTCTCGGATAACTCATGATGAAGTCATTGACATCATCCCTATAATCTGGCATGGTCTACCATCAGTAACGGACATCTTCATTCGTCAGACATATCTCAACCATGAAAGTTTTGTAACATTAAAAGATTCACACAAAACATGTGAACATTTGCAAAAGTCCGAGGGAGATTCACCATTGCCATCCACGATTTTTGATCGCTTTCCTATTGGACAGACGATACTCGCATTACCCCCTCAGCGTAAGTCGAAAAACAATCTAGAGCCTTATGAGATTGTAGGATACGTAGAAGAAAGCTCTAAGTTACATGTCAAATTAAGGAGACTTATGAGAAGATCGGAGATTGATCATGCTGTGTCTTGTAGACCAAATGAGCTTGTATACACTGATGTGATAGACTCAATGTCAGCTCATAAACTTGAGAGAACATGTCTTGTACGATTTTATACTGAGAAGCAAGTCTCAAGTGGCAATGTCCCAGCACCTTACTGTAGAAATGGAGGCTCGAATGCCTTCATCATTACGAAGCGATTACGTGAGGATAATCGGACACTAATACCAATAGAAAGTGATACACCCCAAAGCCTTATTCAAGGTTTTGATCCTCAAGCCCCGCTGAAACGAAGAGTTCTGAATGGACTCGATTTGTTCTGTGGTGGTGGTAATTTCGGCCGTGGGTTGGAAGAGAGTGGTGTATTGCACAACAAATGGGCTGTCGATTTGTTCTCGGCAGCAGTGCAAACATATGCTGCTAATTTGAAGAATCCTGAAGAAACCGATATCTTCTTTGGTTCAGTCAACGATTTACTAGCTGAGGCTTTTGTAGGCAATCCACGATTACTCAAAATTCCTCTACCTGGTGATGTTGATGTCATTATGGCTGGTAGTCCTTGCCAAGGTTTCAGCAGAATGAATACGTACAAAAGCAATGATCAGAGTCTAAGGAATCAGTCCCTGGTAGCATCTGTTGCTGCCTATATTGATTTCTATCGCCCTAAATATGGATTGCTAGAGAATGTATTGAACATGGCTCAGAAAGGATTGGGACGAGATGAAGATGTTCTTTCTCAACTTATCTGCGCCATCGTCGGTCTTGGATACCAGGTACAGCTTTTCTTACTTGATTCATGGAGTTTTGGTAGCTCTCAATCACGAAGTCGAATATTTGTCTCATTTGCAGCCCCTGGTTGTGTTCCTCTTAAGCATCCAGACCTTTCTCACTCACACCCTCCACACGTTGGCGAACGCGGGCTTGGTAGATTAGCAAATGGTCAATCATTTGGGAGCCGAGTTCATTGTCCCACTCCATTTCAGTACCGTACTGCTGAACAATCTGTAGCTGACCTTCCTTACATTGGAGATGGAGCGACTGGTCACTGCACAAAATATCCGGATCATGTTTCACCTATCACCTTGTCCAAAAAATATCGGTCACAAATCGCATGTATTCCCTCTCATCCACGAGGTATGAGCTTTTCAAAGACATGGAATGAGGGCAATGGTATAATGACGAGAGCGGAACGAGACCTTTTCCCATATCTAGCCAAGTCGGGGAAAATCAGAGAAAGCGTCGTAACAGGTTCTAGGGCCTGGGGAAGGATAAAGCCTCACGGATTATTTCCCACCGTACTGGTGGTAATGAATATGGAGGACTCCCGCATGGGAACGATTTTGCACTGGGATCAGCATAGACGCTTGACGCTAATGGAACTACGCCGTGCACAAAGCTTTCCTGACGATGATGTAATCATTGGTAGAAGAGGGGAACAAATCAAAATAATCGGGAATAGTGTTGATAGGAGTGTTTCTATGGCATTAGGAATTTCTTTACGAAACGCTTGGCTAGAGTGTTCACCTGATGTTGATATGCCTACAAGAACTGTGAGAACTCAAACATTTATGGCCTCCAGGGCCTCCAGGGAGAAATCTTCCGAGATTCCAATTCGTACGGGCTCTACTACTTTGGAAGTTATTCTAAGCCAACGTTCAAAAGCCAAGCCATATGATTTGGAGGCGCCAAATGGTGTATTGAATGGTCCTTTTGGGTTTTACTCGAGCTCATCGAACTCAGTTGGTTCAAGTATGTCTGGGTTTGACGAATCGGGTTCATTTGATGATATTCAAAGGTTTCGATACGATATTTCCAAGACGCAAAAAAGACGACGATTGATTGACCTTACCAATGAGCCCGCTTGTAAATCTCCAAGGTTGAGCTCGGCATGGACTGTTTCATCAAAATCAAGAGAAGCTGCTGCGAATTCAACCTACAACCCCCAACCACGTGTGGAGTCCAACTCTACCAAACGTTCGAGTCCGAGAAATATCACCACACCAAGAAGTGTTTTTCTCTACTTATGTTCAGCATCGCCTCCACCACAAATCAATTCTTCCTATCAAACAAACACATCTAACCTAACGAATCATGTAAACAATCAACCACTTTTTCCACAAGACACCCTTGTCACAATAGATGACAATGAAGACGAAAACGAAGATACCATCTGGGTAGATTCCGGACCACGCGCCTCAACTCTCCTCCACCGAACCCCTCATTCCCGCACCACTACCTCCAGAATTCCTAGGTCCCTCAATACCTCCTCATCCAAATCTTCGCATCACAAAAAATTCTCTCAATTCATCGATCTTACGAATTCCGACGCAGATCAAACTTTTAATGTTACTCCTGTAAAATCTTCACTCCAGATCGTAATTCCAACTCCTGTGAAAGTAGAAGATCGAGATGATTCTATGTCTGCGGCTTTACAAACACGAGAGAGTAGAGTCGGATCTGGAATAAGGAATAGTTATGTAGCGGTGGATAATAGTCAGTTTGATGCCTATGGGCAGACTAATGGTACGATGAGGAATATGGATGCGAGATAGGTTGGTATGGTATGGCGGGGAAAGATGGAGGGTGAAATGGAAGGGAAGGGAAGGGAAGGGAAGGGAAGGGAAGGGAAGGGAAGGGAAGGGAAGGGAAGGGAAGGGAAGGGAAGGGAAGGGAAGGGAAGGGAAGGGAAGGGAAGGGAAGGGAAGGGAAGGGAAGGGAAGGGAAGGGAAGGGAAGGGAAGGGAAGGGAAGGGAAGAAGATGGTGCTTTCCCATCCCAATCTCAATTATAATAATATCACCGTTGGAAATTGTACATAAGAGGGTGAGGGTGGTATTTCGAACTGCTCCAGTATCGACATGTGTGGAAGGGCACGCGGAATTGATACAATAAGGGATTGATTTCACATCCATCATAACATCAGGTATTAGATAGATTGCTTTAGATTTCTATTTCATTAGATTTTCTCATGTTGATTCAGTGACGATGCATAGTATCTAAGTATCTATGGATCCAGCTAGTTTTGTCAATGTAATCACATCTCATCATCTCAACTCATCATCTCAACTCATCTTCTCATCTCATCATATCATAAAATATCAATTCTAATTCAAAACTTCCCCCCACGACTCACTTTGCACTGTGCACTGTGCACTTTGCAATCATGATAGATAAATAAATAAGGAAATAAATCTCAAACCTCCTTTTAATCCATAAAAACCAAAAACCAAAAACCATAACCGCATATTTTGTTACAAATCAAATTCTCAATTCTTTACTCTTTATCAAAAAATCTCGTTCTGTCTCGTCCTATCCCATCCCACCCCATTTCATCATATCTCCTATCTACTTGGCAAATCTGGAAAATCCCAAATCTCAGATCCAAGATCAAGTACCACCCTCCCTCCGTCTCTAGTCTCTACTCACCTACCGACCCACATACCCATCTACCCAAACATAAAAACAAGATTTAAAAATAAATCACAAGTACGACATAGACATCAATACCCAGACACCCATCAAGAGTATACAAATAAAATAAGTACTATTAGGGTATGCATTGATGCTATTTTAATACGGATATAAGACAAGATATAAGACAGACACCCCGGAACCCATGGTTCAGTTCATTCCCTTCAACCGACGCGACGCTGCGAAAAAAACTCCAAAATTATCAGCTAACCCATCCACCCACCCACCAACCAAACCCTCAACCCATCAATCAAAAATGACAAAGGAAATTTGTGTAAGGATTGGAAATCGAAATAAAAAGTTTCGAAAGCTTTTAAAATAATTCGTTAATTCGTTATGTGGTAGGTGGTATATGTTTTGTAGTTGATTGGGTGGTTGATTACTTGGCCTCTCCGATAATATCGGTAGGACCAATATCTTCCCCGGTTAAGATGCGATTGATCTCATCGTAAGTATCTTCGAATTCATCCTCGGGGATGACATCGACTTCGATATGAGAGAAGGGGGATTTTCGATCTCCAGTTCGCTCTTCGTCATCCATGGCGTCAAAGGCGAATCTTTCTGGCACGGGTAGATCTGTGTTTCTACTATCTCTTGAGCTCGATCTCGATCTCGATCTGTTCCTCTTCTCCTCCTTCTCCTCACTCCTATTCCTTCCTCCAATCTTCCCCGCTCCAACGCCCCTAAACATTCCCTCCATAATCTTCCTCTCCACCTCCTCCTTCTCCTCACTCATCTCCAATAAACTCCTTCTCTTCCCCCTTCCCTCAATCTTCCCATCCAGAAAACACTCCCGGGGTACATCCCCCAATGGTTTCCAAATATCGTAATCCCTCACCACCCCTTCCAACCGTCTATGTCCCTCATCCGGATCCTGCAGCATTTCCATACCCATGACATCTATAAACCCCTGCCGACTCAACATCGGCATGTTTGCTCCGAGCGAAATCGATCTCCGAATACGTTCTCCCGCCGTAGGAGACGGCGACGGAGGCGGAAGATTCGATGCATGGCGTACCGAGAGCGTGTGAGAAATATCATGCGTTTTGAAGAAAATACCCAATTCGAGGTCGGCAATCTCTTGATTTTGAGGTCCCCCGGTCGTGTAAAGTGTTTTTTGCCCTAAATAATCATATCCATATTAGTTTTCATCCTTCAAGCAAAAAGGAATCACAAGAGCCACATAATTCTAGACCCTTTCCACCGAAAGGGCCCAAATGAAGAGGCTGGAGTAAAGTTTCAAAAAAACCAACAGATATTATTCTCCATCCCAACCCCCTGCATCTCCAAGAACGCACTCCACACCTCCGGACTCAATTCATTCGTGCCCTCCACATCCAAACACAAAAACATGGTCGTCATCAAATCCACAAAAATCGCATTAAACGCTCCATCCTTTTGGAAAAAGGGACTCCATTCCGATGGCATCGGGGGCGCCAGCGAAGCGTATGGATTGGTAAAGGCTTCCAATTTGATTTTCCCCTCCAACGATCCCTCAAAAAATTGCGCGGGTAAATCCGGTCGTAACTTAGTGAGGGGAGAATCTGAGTAACTTATATTGTGATTGCTAAAGCTGTCGTCATTCGGGGGTGGTTGAATCGAAAGGAGATCTCTCGGGCCCCCGCTCGAATTTTTCGGTTTCTTATTCGGTTTCACGATATCCCACAGGGCACCCCAATTGGCGGTTGGGAGTTCGACTTTTTTGGGCGGGAGATTGGGGGCGGTGATGTTGGTGAGGGTATCTTTTCGCGGCGGGAGAAGCGGGAGAGGACGAGGAGGAACTGGGGGAGGAACAGTGGGGGTGCTGGTCCCGCTCGTTTTGATGATGGCGGTGGGATGGCTGAGGAGATGTGTACGTGATGTCTTTTGAATGGCGAAACAGTTGGTGCAGAGATTGTAATCGGTGCAGGTTTGACATTGAATGCGAGCCCGGTCGGGACGGATGGGCTCTGTACAACTGGAACATTCATAGAGAGACATTATTTTGTTGTTCTTACTAGGTATGCGGATGGATGGATGGATTGGATAGATATCCGAGGATTAATCCCCTGAAGATTGGCTGGATTTTGATATGTATCTGATGTAAGTTGTGGGTGATATGAGAGGAAGAGAGAGAGGGAGGGAGAGGGAGAGAGAGAGAGATATGTATATTTTAAAGTAAGTAGTAACTAGTAATGAAGATGCGAATAAATTCCAATCAAATCAAGATGTTTGGTAGGGAGAAGGACTCTTTACATATAGTAATATGTGGTAGCCGGATATTGAAGCTTTGAGTTTCAAGTGACCAGGACTTGGTACGTGAAGCTCTAGAATCTATCGTGTTTTGGGGTTAAGGTGGTAAGGCTCTTATTAGTCGTGGTGGCTGATGGGAAGTTGTAACGGGTCGTGGTGATTCGTGGTAATTCGTGGTAAGTCGTGGTAAGTCGTGGTAAGTCGTGGTAAGTCGTGGTAAGTCGTAGCAAATCGTAGCAAATCGTAGTCCTTCGTAGTCTTTGGTCGTAAAATCGTAGTCAGCAGTCTCGAGACAATGTTTGAGAGTTTCAGAAACGTCTTGAAAGTGCTCTAGATATAGGTGTAGTTAGCATCGTATGGCACGGTATGGCATAGTATGATATAGTAACGCATAGTAATTTTATTCGCATTGATGGTGGAATTAATGATCAGATCATTGACCCCTTAGGGGATTTTATTCACTGAAACTCTATTCTGGAACAATGAATAGAACAAAGGCTTAATTTTTGAAGATGCCGAGGCTAAGATCGATGAAGTGAAGCTTGATATGGAAACACAACACAGGGCGATGTACTTGAAGAGAAGGAATTAGATGTATTCAGAGAGAGAGAGACTCGATTCCATTCAAGTTGACAGGTTGGTTTCTCATGGCCATGAATAATAAATTGTAGGAGTTTTAGAACTAGAGGTCGAATAGATGCCCAGCATATCCATACTTCTTCATATAATATAAAGTTCCTTATTGATTGACTATAGTATAATACATGACATAATATATAATATACAGTATAGAATACTTGCTAATAAGTAGGTATATAGATACTCTATTCTGTCTCTATATGTCACTATCTGTACAAACAATTCCTAGAAATATTAATCATAGTAACCAGTGACAAGTAACCACGAACAACAAATACCAGTACTCAACCACATCTACCAACAAGTCTACTCACTCACTCACTCACTCACAACCTACCTTTCATTGTCCATCGTTCACTCCACACTTACATCTAAATCTAATGTCCCCTTCTTCCTTCCTTCCTTCCTTCCTTCCTTCCTTCAAATTTACCTCAGACACTCCACTCAGACATTCTCTCTTAGACATTCCTTCCACCATACAACTAAACCTCATGAATATAGATAGTCCCATGAATTGATCCAATGTCTAATCTCCAATTTCCAAATTTCATTCTTCGGTCTTCTCTGGGGATTCTATGACAACATCATTGTTTATCAATTCTCCATCAATGTATGTTTCGCCTCGGGGTTTAAAAAGAGAGTTTGTTGGAGATTCAGATTATCGATAAACTTGAGATAGTACACTATCGATTTGAACTGGCGTACCGTTGAATGGGGGGTTGTCTCGCGGTAGATTGAGTGTTTGTGTGCAGTGATTTCAAGGCCAACAGCACTTCCTTCAATTCCAATCTCAATTATTCCAATAGTATTGTCGTCTCAGTTCTTTTCGATATAGCTTGGAAGGGCGTGAGATAAGGCTTCGTGATGTGGTAGGTGTACCCTCTGTATTTAAACTTTCGTGGCGACGAACTACAGTATTGATTGATTGATTGCTTGATCGAAGATCATCACAGACCTCTGCGAGTAATTTCCAGTGGCGAAAAGCTTAAATGTGTAGAAAGAGATAACATACCGTCATGCCTCGTTACAGAGTCGAAGTCTATAATGTCGAAGTAAAATTTTTCCCTTCTAGACGGAATCCTCACACAGAAATAACCCCTCTCTACCTCTCTGCCTCTCTGCTTCTTCCTCCATCAGCCTTCTACTAGATATGTGTGGAAAACAGACCCGTCAACTGATGCGACCCACGGTGATCAGGAGGCTGAGCGGTACATGAGGCCGATAACTCGGAGATATCCCACCGTTCAAACGGGATTGTCTTCAACGACATTAGACACGTGGTAATGTCTTGAGTATTGGTTGGTTCTTCGCTGCAGTACAAGATTGCTTGGTAGAACATATTATTTGCATGAGAGTGAAACATCCAAAGCAGACACTCTGTATGTGTGAAGTAGGAGAAAAAGAAAATTCAATTGAGGAACCTCTTAGAGGATACCCTACTTGTATGCACGCAATTGCTAAACGCTTGAAGAATATGAAAATGGTCACAGACTCACTGTGAGTGGATGGCGCCAAATTATCGTTTGAAATATCGAAACCGCGTCTACGAAACTTTGACGGAAACTTTGACGGAAAATTCTTTATCAATTTTTATTAAAAATGGCATAGGAGGCGTTCATCGCAATTTGATCGTACCCAGGAAGTTCACTACAGACTGCACTTCATTGTATATTAATAGCCTATGCTTTTTATTAATCCGATCTTTATTGGCCCGGAGCGCGAGTATGTACAATGAATGCATCAGGGTTTTGTAGTGCCAACGGTAGGCGCCGAAAGTTTATGAATTCGCCGACGCTATCTTGAAGGCCCAGTCCACAGTCCAAGTATTGTATGCGTGCGCGGATAAGGCGTAATCCGTCACACGTTCATGCTCACGCTCAAGTATTTGTGTACAGGGGCTCGAAGAGTGGGAAGACGTCTTGAGAAAAACCGTGCTCATAATGCGGCTGCAAATATACGAATCTGATATCCAGAGGCTGTGCGATAGTCGACTTGATCGTAGATGACTTGTCACTTGAGTTACCCATAGTACAACTCTCGGAGTACAACTACTCGATACAGACAATTTGGAGATAGTAGTTCGATCGTACTAAAGAGACCCTCAAATTCTAAGAGAAAACCACTTTGAAGGTGGATTTTGACTTCAAGACAACGAAATAGTAATGAGATGAGGGGGGCTGGTATCGATGATGAGGAGGGAAGAAGTGGTACCGTCAATACTTGAATTGACGATGCATTTCGATTCGAAAAAAAGTATTATGAGGAAAGAAGAGGGAATTCAGAGAAAAATCAAGCCATGATATTTATTAACCAGCCTCGAGCCAGCTCACCCTGGGCATGGGTAGAAAATACCACGAGAAATCAAAACATTGTTAAAACTCTCACGTGATTAACATATTTTCTTTTTCTGTATTTTACCCCTCCAGTTTGATATTCCAATGGACTAAATTAATGTGATTGTCCCTCCGTATTTCAGCCTCCCAGACACGGTCCAAATTCTGATCTTTTCTGCTTTTTGCATGCCACAAATGTCTATTCAAGACACGATAAACGTCCGTCTGTACCGGTACTCGACATTACTCGCATAGTCACCAACTGAATATTCTTCACTCAAGTCGGCATTGGGGCCGTGGTAAGCCAACATACAACTGGCTGTCTCATGTGCAATTCAAGGCCGTCGACATGCCTATAGATCTGCTGATTGTTGAGTCTTGACATATCATGAATCGTGATTTCGGAGTGGATCATGAGTGCATAATTAACCTCCCTCTTCCTTGAATCTACCCTATAAGGTTGCTGGGAATCTCCGAGATCAACTTTACCTAACAGCGCGTTTCAAGTTCAGCGAACAATACTCGATACCTTGAATATCTTCGATCGATCGGCTCACAATGGTATGAAGCTACGAGCTTAGAAGTGAAGAGCGTGTGAACATCGAACCCCTAATAGGACCCCTTAGGACGCCTCATGACCCTTTCTCACAAGCTTCCGTGACGTGACAGCGGCACATGTCGACAAGATCTCTCATAAAGTCATATGTGCCGAAATTCTCACAAACAAATACCGCATCCCCTAACCTGGAAGTTGGAACTTTCGACGTGATAACACAGACGGAAAATCTGCCATGTGGCATAAGCGTATATTGACAATGCGTCAACATCCGAAGAAACAATGACATCGGGATGGATGCGAGGCATTAAATGGAGATTATCTGAATGAATATCAACCAGCCTGGTTACTGATTGGCTCAAAGGATCAATAGGTATCCATCTTCCTCCTCTCCTGTTATGATCCCCATCATGGTCAAGTCCAACTCACGATCTAGCAAATGTTGCAAGCATAGTGGATGTTGATATTGAGGATTGATGATGAGAGGTTTTATTTAACTTTGCCTACCATGCAGAAATTTTGATGAAGCCATCAGAAGATGAATATTGGGCCAAGCCTTACAGTTACCACAACTCATTTGCAAAGTCCCATTATTAATATTTTATATGCATGTATGCAATCAGAACATAAGCATTGAGCATTAAACCTCTGAGTTGTATCTTTCTTCTAGTGGAGAAGAATTGAAGCGGTTTCCCGAACGATTGGTTGTCGGGTCGGAAAGGCGGTTCATTGGTTTCATACGATTCATTCATTCATCCCATCCCATCCCTACGAGGTAGGTCTCCTATCTTGCTCGGCAACTAATGCAGGAATTTTTTGGGGACCTACTGTTTGACCGGGTCTAAAATCATGCTGAAAAGATGAAAATAAGTTTAATTTGCGAAAAATTACCGTGAATGCAAGACTTAGTAATCTGATTGGTTTCGTATTTCGAATTTGTTTGAGTAGTTAGTAGCTAGTTAGAAGTTACAGGCAGTGCACACTATTCATTGTACGCCAATGCATACCGAATATTTTGGGGAGGGATATCATATCATGTAGTTTTGAGTGGGTCAAAATCACGTTAGAAGTTAGAATTTAGTTGATAAAGACGGAATTTGAGCGGTCTGACCTGAGCTGACTTCCCACCGATTTTTACTCCCTACAAAGTCCTACGAAGTACCTCCGCACGCATTATTTCTCGAGACATTTAACTGGGCTGAGCCGAATCAATACATCGCACGAAAAAGAGGAACCTCTTAGTTAACTCTTTCTGAGGGTCTCATGGAAGGATCATATTGCGTAGCGAAAAACAACCCAAATTCGCCATATTATGGATACAATGACGTAGATATGCTTTATAATGTGAAAACTTATCTAGGTAATATGCATTATACCCATGTGTTATTCCTTCAAACACTACGAAGTACTTTATTGATAATTAACTTTCCTTTTACAAGTATGCCGATGCAAGTAAAATATGCACAGAATTTCGAAAAAGGCGTTGAAAGTGTAAATCTTCTTTTTTTGAACGCTTTGAATCTTGATTTTCTCAAGATCTTCAATCTAATCTACAATTTCCTGGATTTTTTTTGGGTTTTTTGGATACAGCAAGAGAGACATATCAAGTAATCATATACATGCAGAGAGATAAACATGTGAAGTTTCTATCTTTGTTGCGTTGTTTTCGACGGCCCCATTGTCTGTCCATTGCTATCCTGTCCCTTTTTGCATTTTTACCCCTTCATTTTGTGCTTTGCTTGGAATTTGAGCGAATAATATGGTGGTTTTGAAAAGTAGTGCGAAGAGAAGCCGGAAGATAAGCGGACCCCTAATTCTCTAGTAGAGGTTGGTATCAAGCTAGTCCATTAGGACATCAACAATAGTGGAGTAAGTTGATAAGATGGCATCGGTAAACCTGGTTCGTTGTGTCAGGTAACCCTACTGGTTATTATTTCCGACCTTTTTGAAGAAAAATTTGTTGTACCGAGTGGATTCTGCTTATTGTCAATGACTTATCTTCGGTCGTCGCGCTTCATAACTCGAGTGGTCGGTAGGGTAACATGTGGATTTACTCGTTGGTTTTCCCAATTTCATTCTAATCCGTTGGACACTAATGCATTGAGAATATACGGAGTACATTCCTACCTACGATTCAAAACACTCGGTGGGTCCTATCTTAAAAGAGTAATGTAATCAAGACATACACGGCAATGCTATCTCCATTCATCATTTATATATATCAGACCTGTCCCTCCTTTCTTTATCTCTATATCAGTCAAGTTTGTCTTTCCGCCTTTTCACTTAAGAAAGAAGTGATCATATTAATTGTGATAAGTTCGTATCACAATCAACCTCGAAAGGTCCATTCAAAGTACGCCACCACGGCCCGAATGATACCTTACAAGAAATCATTATATCACGGTTATTCAAGAGGCTTCTTTAAGCTTCACGGACGTCCATTCTGTCAATCTCTGGCACCAACTTGATCTACCTTTTACATTCTATACTCACAACTTTTTCAATATATATAATTCCAAACTTTAAAACTCTGTTTTGCAACACCAGTAGTGAAAACCTCCTCAAACACCTCCCTCTACAACAGATATAGCAATCATGGCCATTCCATTCGGTTTCAGTTTCGGCGAGGTTATTCATGGAGTTGGAATCCTTAGAAATGCATTCACAGCAATCGACGATTCGAAAAAGGCAAACCCAGTCTTTGAGGATGTTGCACAAGTCCTATCCAACCTTCACACGCGTCTCGACGGCATCGAGAGATTTTTGAGTGATTCATCATTTGGAGCTCAACGTGGTTTGATGATGCAAGTCATTAGTGCATGCCAACACTGTATAGAAAGATTTGTGCATCAAGGATGCAGGTTAAACGGTATCACCACCAAGGGATCTTTATGGTCTCACGAAGAATTCTCCAGAATCATCGAAAAGATTGATTGGTTAGCTTGCAAGAAATGGGATGTATCACAATTCAGAAAGGAGCTTTCAATTCACGAGGATGCAGTATCAAGTCTGCTATCGACCATGCTTAGCACCCGCGGAATGGAGAAGGGACAACTCGCCCGTCAAATCAACGATATCGTTACCACCCAGCACAGAAAGGTCCGTGGGTTTAACAAGGCATCACCACAAGATGTTGCAGCCAGCAATGAGGTTTTGAATGCACTCACCGTCATCAATCCACTCATTGGAAGAAGAGAAATCGAAGCTCGTACGGATCGTCTCTTGAGTAAATCATGCGACTGGATCCTCAACAACAAGAGTTACAAGTCTATGATTGAAAGTGATCAATCCGATTTGTTGTGGGTTCATGGACAAGCAGGAAAGGGTAAAACCATGCTTTCTATGTACCTTGTCGACACACTCTCCAAACAGGTTGCTCAAAACCCTTGTGACCAAATTGCGTACTTCTTCTGCGACAACAACACCGATCAGAGAAACTCGACATTACATGCACTCAAGACCGTTCTTCATCAAGTTCTGAAACAAAGCTCTCGAAATGTGTTGTTGGAAGACTTCAAACGTCACGGACCTCAAATGTTCTCCACCATCGAGGGAGTTTGGACTGCTTTGACACGGGTCCTCGAAGCTTCTACCACACGAAACCTTTACCTGATCATCGATGGTCTCGATGAGTGTACCGAGGAATCTTTGGATGTTTTCCTTAAGCTCGCTAGCACATACATTGCGTCCAACGTCGACGGACTTTGCAATGTCAAATGGATTTTTACTAGTCGAAATGAAACAAGGATCGAGGAGTACTTGAAGTTGTCTTGGGTAGTAGACTTGGAAGACTCCGCCGCTGAAATGAGCAAGGCCGTCGATACATTCATCAGCCATAAGGTTGATATCTTGGCTACCAAGAAGAGATTTGATGCACCCTTGAAACTATTTGTCGCTGATAAATTGAGAGCAAAAGCTGAAGGAAACTTCCTCTTCATCTCTCTTGCTTGCAAGGAACTCTTGAAGAAGAACGTTTCATTCATCAATGTCAAGCTTGTACTCGGAAAATTCCCTACTGGACTCGATGCATTATATGCTAGAATCCTCGAGGGAGTTCTAAAATTAGGTGAGGAAGATCAACAAAAGGCTTTTTCAGTCTTCCGTGCAGTCGGTATTGCTTTCAGACCTCTCAGTCTCCGCGAACTTGCTGTCATGGCAGCTTTCCCAGCAGCAGCTATGGATGATGAAGATATTGTTTTGGATGCTGTTGAATTATGTGGATCATTCTTATCATTACATCGCGATCACCCATACTTTGTCCACCGGTCCGCAAAGGAATATCTCCTCAACCACAAAACAGCCGGTATCTTCTCCTCAGATCTAGAATTCGAACACGAAAAAGCAGCTTTCAGAGCTCTCAAATACACAACCAGAGACTGGAAATATTATCTCGAAAGTCTCGAGGATGTTCCACTCTCTTCATTACAAGATCAACCTTCCTCGGAAGATAGTCTTCAATATCCTCTCATCTACTGGATCAACCACAGCAACATCGCCGGATCTCGCATGATGAAATCCTACGCCCTCGATCGTCATTTCTTCCGTCGCAACTGCGATCTCCGCCGTACCTGGCTCCTCTACTTCAAAAAGCACCGCCACATGACCAACTTCTCCGCCATTCAGAATGTTCATTTCTCCGCCCTTCACATCTCAGCTGTATGCAACACCTGGTGGGTTGCCGAGATCCTTCTCAAAAACAGCAGCACCTACATCGATGTTGAAGATTCCTTCGGTCTCACTGCTCTCCACTGGGCCGTCCACTGCGGAAACACCTCGGTCGCCAAAATCCTCCTCCAGAAAGGCGCCGACCCCAACCACAAAGGTGGAAACACCGATTACCAAAATGGACCTCGCGAAGGCACACCCCTCGGTCTTGCCATCTCCTACAATAACCTCGATATGTCGAAACTACTCCTTGCTCACGGCGCTGATATCGATTGTCCGGATCATCACTTTACTACTCCGCTCGTGTGGACCATCCGCAAGAACCTTCCTAAATCGACTAAATTCCTTCTGCAGAGAGGCGCGGATCCCATTCTCAGAGATGAAGAGGGAAAAACTCCACTCCATGATGCGTGTGCGAGGGGTCATGAGAATATCGCCAAGATTCTCCTCAATCACGGTGCCGCCCCCGATGCAAAAGACGATAAAGATGTAAGTCCCGCTGGGGATGCGTGGAACGGGGGACACAAGGAATGCATCAAATTGTTAGATGCATATGGAGTTAAGACTCCAGAAGTAGATATGGAAGAGGAGAGTAAATGGGGAAAAGGAGGTGATTTACTGGCTGCGTAGATGAGGGTTGAAATTCATACATACATACATACACATATATGTGAGGGAAAGGGAAAAAGATGCATACAAGGATAACGGATTGGTTGGGTTATGGGTAGTATATAAGGGACTTGGGTTTTTTGCGAAAGATACCATATAGAATTTACATTTGAATCCCGGATTCGGGAAAACTTATCGTGTTAGAAAATGCTTAGATTAGATGAGATTAGATTGAATTGATTCAATAGATATCATATATGAATGTTCGCTTGTTCAGATGCGAAAGATGAATTAAAGTGTTATCCTATAACTTATCTGTTTACTGCTCTGAATGAGAGTTATAATTATGTGAGATCAGTGAGCAAGTGTTCATTGAGAGGAAGAGGAATTAGTGAGTCTTGAGTAGTGAGTGTATTGTACACACCACGGTGGAGATGGACAGACAGCATAATTATGCGAAGTCGCTTATGGGAATGAATATCGATTGTCTAATATAGGATATCTCATACCTATAACGGAGGTTGAAGATGAATGAATTGATGTTGATATGATTAAGACATCATTGGTTTGTGTTCTATTTATATATTATGTTTATATTTATTTATTTACCTCCTGTCTCATTCTTTTTTGTGTCATATTATCATGGAATACCTAGGTACCTAACACACTAGATATCCGACACCATGAGCACCAGTCGAACAAGTCTAGCAATCATTCAATTATCCGTCTTTCATTCTCGCTTTGGATTCCCCCTCTTGAAGATTCACATCTCCGTACCAACCTGGTTCTTTCTATCGCTACCCACTCCTTCCCACATCTTCCAACCGTCATCAATTAATGATATTTCGCCTCTCAATCTCCATCTCTTCTCTTCTCTTCTCTTGCCATCTCAAGAAACTCCAGCATAAGTGTTTATTTTGCCATATTCGTATCCATATCCATATCCTCTCCCTTCTGTCCTTCTCCCCCTCCCCCTCGACCAAGCCAATCCCCATTTCATCTTCAACTCGCCTCCTCTTCTTCTTTCCCTCTGTTCGAACAATTTACCTCTGTTCTCTACCCTAACAATACTTAGACTCCCTTCTGAATCGAGTTCGTGATTGTCGAGTGACGATAACGATGACGACGACGACGAAGATGAGAAATATTCACTTCCCCCGCTATCTACATCCGGATATGCACAGCTAGGACACGGACATTCTTCATCTTTCCTCCCTTTAGATATCTCAGTGAGGAGTTCTCGTTCTCGTTCTTGTTCTTTTTCTTTGGCATAGTTGCGTTTATATTTAGAGGTAGATTTTGGTCTGGCTTTTCGAGCATATTTAGGAGGTTTAGAGCGAGATTTCGAGGATGCAGGTGGTGAGTAGGGAGATGGAGATGAGGATGTACATGGATGGGAGAGGGAGATGAATGAGAATGAGCGTGTTGTGAAGGCCATGATGAGTTGTGCTATGCTAGGTTGGATGGGGTTGGTGTTTCCTGTTTATATATGATATAGGTAAGAAAGCCGAAGATGATATTCCCGAGAAACATATATATGGGTATATCTCTTGCCATACAATTGCCGGGAGAACGAGTCAAAATATGGAACTTTGGCGATGAAGATGTAGGTCTCAATCTAACAAAAAGAGCAGAAGTCAAATAATATATCAATATATAGAACATTACAGAAGAGAACACAAATTATTCCCCCCCCCCCCCCTTTTCAAAAAGAAACCAGACTCCAAAATCAATACTTCAACCAAGTAACGAAAAAAAGGATATTCGACACGAGATGCGTACAACCAACCAACCAACCAAACATACATTCAACTTCCGAAGAACCATCCACATCTCCATTCATTTCCCCGGTACGTAAGACGCAATCCGAAAATGCACTTTTGAGTTTCGACTCCGATCGAAATTGATTGTGAAGTTCTCGATGCGTTATGCATGTATGTATGTATGCATGTATGTAATCATCCCCCTCCCTTTCTAAGCGATCATTTTTGTATCATATTAACCTATATCATATCATATGTATGCATCACAACGCTGGTATTCGTATCTGCAGTAGGTAATTTTCTCTCTACCGATAAATCCTCTGTTTCAAATGTAAGATTACCATGTATTCTTTCTGTACATATATGTTAATTTATTTCCTTCCTGCTTCGCTTCCTATCTATCCATCTATCTACCTATCAAAAAACAGCTCATTCATCCTTCATTATTATATTCAGCATCATCCCATCAAGCGATCTTCCTACTCATCAGAATTCCATCTCGAGACGACACACGCGCGCATATATAGTGCAAACCAATCAACCAATTGCCTCATCGAAAAATATACATGCATACATATACACACATCCAAAAACCCACACCCATCAAAGCAACAAATAACAAAGTCAATCAGCAACATTCCCTCTTCTATTCCTCGGAAAAGATCGAAATAGGATAGATAGGTAGTATAGTGTAGTATGCTGTGCAATAGTACGGTATGGCATGAACGTGGCGGTGAAAACCGAAAGGACAAAAAACGGCCGACATGAGTTTTTGAAGTTGTGTCCCTGTAACGGGCGTGTTGTTTGTGTGCTGTGTGATGGATGGATGGAAGGGGTTTGAGGGCGATATCGGAGGGAGGGGAGAAGAGGGAGATAATGGAAGGGAAAGTTTAGAATTGAGGTTTGCCTATATTTCGAGATGGTTAGTGTGGAATGTTCATCGATATAATGTACTTGTAATAGGTAGTATTCCAGATAATTACTTAAAGTTCTTTCCATATAAATCTATACCAATTCCTCTATTTCACCCAAAATTATGAATCACCTTTCTATTTTCATTACATCACATCACATCACATCACATCACTTCACCTCCTACCCCCCCTTCCCCTCGTCAAGCTCCCTTCAACCCAGACTCTACTCTTCCCATACAAAACAGAGTAGAGCAAAGCGCATGTCCAAGCTCACTACTATTTCCGCTCGTAGCTGGCTGTAGCCCGCTGCGTGTTTCGACGGCTACCCGCAGATTTGCTCTCGCTTATATATTTAGAGATATGCCACGCGAGATGAGAATGAATGAGTGATATTGAGACAAGAACTGAAGTATTTCCCCGAGGGAAAGGGAGATATCGGGCAAGTGAATGCAAAGAGAATGTGAGATTAAAATTGAGATGTGAATTTATCGAGGAAAGATGTGAGGCAGAAGCGATGGATGTAGGTAATTCCTTGGAAAACTATAATATCACATCTTATTAGAATATCAAATCCGACCAAATCAAAGGTACAAGAGATAGGTAGTCTCGACTAGCTCTTACAGTCGTTATGGTTCAACATGCTCAAGAACGCGAGGTCTAATTCCATTTGAATATATAATATGATCATTAAATGCTCTTCATTAATCAATTCCGGCATGCTAAAAAACGCTATGTCATGCTGAGTCATGTCATGCCATCTGATCATATAGTGACCTATGCTCCATACACCCATTCAAATATGTACCATGCTCCAAGCTCCATATACCCCCAATTAACTCAAATCAATACAAATCTATCTTCTTTCCTCCCCACTCCATTCCTTAATCATTACTGGCTACTCCCTATCATCACCAAACAAATAGCCCGCCTCCAAGCAATATGCTCCACCGTTAGCCATTCCTTTCTCACTTCCCCAACAGACAACTGTCGCATCCACAACTCCACTGAGTACCCCCTCCATAGCCCCAAGTACACCCCAACCGATAAACCCAGCAACTAGTCCTACGACATATGCATATGCACTTCCCTTGAGACCAGGACCTTCGGGCACACTGATAGACAATTGACGAGCAGTTGCCACCCAGCCACCAAAACCAAGAGCCATAGACATGATGATACGAGTTGCGTGAAGAAGCAGTTTGGCTAGACGGTAAGGGAGTAGAGGTGTTGTGGCGTGAGTTCGAGATGAGAAGGATCGTGGGGTTAATGTGGTTGTAGGAGCTTGAGGTGTCAGAAATGTCATTTGACTTAGACCTCTGGCGGATGTTTGAAGAGGTTGTGAATGGATAGCAGCGTAAGTGAGAGTGAGAGGATTGAGCAATGCTGTCACTGGTACTGGTACGAAAGAGTACGCAATAATCGAAATAGCCGCCACCAATCGTCGTGGAAACACGAGAAGAGGAAGTTTAATCAAGAGAGCTATTAGTGAAGATAGGCATATGGTACCGAATATCGTATTGGTCGAGTGATAGAATGCTGCCGCAACAACCTCTCGAGATGAAGCTCCTGTCTGCGCATTACGGTGATAATACCACTGAGAAACTGTTGCAGCAGTGGTAGTTCGTTGGATACCCCCAATCACGGAAAGAGTCCAAATGTACATCATTACGAAATATACACCAAGCCACCAAGTCGTTGCATCAATAATGAAACTAAGACCTGACTTTGAGAGATGACCACCCAAGAATACTCTCGTAAACATTCCTAACCATATCCAGGTCCATACAATAACTGACCCCAACGTAGCGAATCCCAACGCGAGCAGACCGGGATTCGAAGCAAGAATCCTCGAGGCAAACTCTAGAATGCTGATTGCTTTAGTCAACGATTGACGTCCTTTATAGATAGTGTACAACCAAAGTAAAGCAAGAGCTCCAGGTATGAACGACATCCATCTCATAGCCCTATCTTGCACACCAGTTCGATCTGTTGACCCTTTCATACTAGACACCATAGGATACAGTGAGAACGAAAACAGTATGACTGGTACTGCGAGAACAATCAGGAATACCAACGGACGAACAAAAGATCGCAGTAACGCAAGCCAAATAAAAGATACAATTATTGATGCAAGGGTATCGACTGCGAATAGATGAAATGAAGAACGGAGAGTGGTATAAATCGTATCTCCGAGCACTCCGTCAGGCGTTGATGTATGTAGGAAGATCAGGAAGAAAGTTGCGAAAAGTGAAGCCAAGCATATCAAAAACAATGACCCCCAAAACATATCATGCTTGGGCCCTTCCAGTTCGTCTGGAGTTGTAGGAATTGCCACTGGAACAACCTCCACTTCATTCGGTCGTATGGGGTATCGAGGACCAGGTGGTTGTTGCGACTCGATATCCCTCTCATTGCCTCTGATGGATTCATCTGTGAATCGAGTTGTGCCAGATTTTAGCCCAGATTTAAATTGTTGGAAGGCTGGTGGATTATCATCACCCATATCATAATCTGGTTCACTTGGCGGTAGGCTGTCGGCAATCGTAGATTCTAGTCCAATTTCGACCATTCTTCCCTTTCCTTTACCACTGCTTCCCTGACTGCTTGGGCGCCTACTTTCGTCGTCATGTTCTTCTCCAACTGTTTCTGGTGTGTGGCCTCGCTCTCTTGTACTTCGGATGCCGCCTTTCCAACTGCTTTTGATTCCTCGTGGGCGTTCTCGATGATCACCTGCTATATCATCATCTTTACTATTCCCCAGAGCTATATCACTCCCATCGCGCTCAGTCTCCTCACTTTCTTCCAGTTCTCTCGTTGGTGCAAAAACTCTCCGTGATCGTTGAAGCGCAAAGAAATCTGCCGTCTCCCTCTCTCGTTCCTCTTCCTCATCCTCTTCCTGAAAATCGTTCAAGGCGCTGTGAAATAATGGGGCATCGGGAGGCGCTTGGGAATATCGAGACGTAAATCCAAAGTTCGGAAGATGCGATGACTGATAAGGATTTCCTAGTCCTCTTTGGTGTCTTGAACTTCGTAAAGGCTGCGATCGTTGATAACGTTCGTTTGGGCTTCGAGTTGGGATTTCGTTATCCTGTTGGACGAAATTGGAGAATCGAGACTGTGACTGAGCCAAGAAGCGCGAAGCATCTGGATAATGTAATGGTTAAAAGAATGCACCAGGTAAGTAGGGCAAGTGAGTTAGTTTACTTACATTCTGAAAACATCTTTAACCCTCCAGAATAAAGTTGTGTGTTGGAATATTTTGCCTGCGGTGAAGTTGAGAAGTCGAGGTTGTTGATAAGGACGCTCTATCTACGGTTCTGCCCAGTCTTGTGGGGTCTTTTGTGAGAGCTTGAAACGGTACTCGCAGGTTGCAGTACGGTAGATCAGTTGTAGTCTGGGGTTGGTAGGGTATCTTGTAACCGATGAATGATACAAAGCTTGTGATGAGGTATTCCACGTAGGTGCTGGAAGTGAATACTGTAGAATATATTTGTATGGGCAAGACTTGTTCAACAATCATGGATGCCCCGTGAAGGAATATTGTATATTAATGAGATCTCAGTCACTTGCTTGCGTTGCTGGGGTTGCTGGGGTTGCTGGGGGCGAGTCAAGACTTATGATTGCGGAGTGTCGGGAGGCCTCGGTCGTGAATCATTTAAAATCACGAGGCAGGTATACCATATCGCATAGCATGTAGGGAGAATGAATCGGTAGAATGAACTCGTCCTCCAGATAAGGATAGGATAGGAGGGAGAGGATGGGAACGGATGGGATATCGGATTATGCGAGAGTGGAAATCTTTTGGATTGATTGATGATGAAGAGAAGGGAGAAGGGAGAAGGGGGAAGGGAGAAGAGAGAAGAGAGAAAGAAGAAAGAAGAAAGGAGAATGATAAGAATGCAAATTTAATTCAATTCATCGACTCGTATAAATTCATTATTTACCTGATACTGGTGTAGTCAATCGAGTGAAGATTGCATGATCACTAGATGTTCAATATTCCTTTGTTCACCGCCCCCCCAGCAAGCCGACCGACTTCTCCAATCCTAAAATATAACTAAAAAAGGCTGGGTGCTAGAGGATCATGATTTTCCCTCCGCTTGCATTCCCAAAAGCCACTTTATGACTGGCTTTCCAAGGTTAGGTATCATTAGAGAGAGGTACCTGGTTCCTCCAGCTGGCTCAATAATCAATCAATCAATGATTCGTGAACAACTCTAATCCGTCATTGGTCATTGTCTCATTGTCTCATTGTCTCATTGTCTCATTGTCTCATTGTCTCGACTCTCAACTGCCCACGAGATTGTAAGATTACCACCATACAACAACTCTGACAACTTACAGCTTTATCCTCCCCAGACACTCTAGCTATTCTTCATTCATAAACCTCATTGTTATCGAATTAATACTCATTTGAAATTTAAACATTCGATTACAATTCATCAAATACTTTCAACCCAATATCTTTTATTGGAATTGTTCATTGATTGTTTAAGTTCGAACGGGTTCTGCCCTTCCAACCCCAATCTACCACCCCTCCCTCCTCTTCCAACGGCAACGAAAAGGCGATAGAACCTTTCGTTTCGAAACGACAAAAGTAATGTCTACTACATCATGGGATTATATTGCAAAGCTCGTCTGCATTGGCGATAGTGGAACGGGGAAATCATCTCTCACAATTCGACTTTGCGAAGGGCGTTTTTCTCCGCACCATGACGTTACCATTGGAGTCGAATTTGGATCACGAATCATTCCAGTTGGTCCACCGAATTCAGAAGGATTTAAACCAAAATCGAACACTCTAGATGAAGAGCCAGCAGCTAAAGCTTCAGCCACAGAATCAGATGTACCACAGAAACACATGAAGCTCAGTTTATGGGATACGGCAGGACAAGAAACTTATAAAAGCGTAACGAGGAGTTATTTCCGTGGAGCTTCAGGCGCACTGCTCGTATTCGACATCTCAAGGCGACCAACATTTGAACATGTTACGGACTGGCTACATGATTTGCGACAAATTGCTGAACCGGATATAGTGGTTGTGTTGGTAGGAAACAAGAGTGATTTGGCCACAGGCGAGGAGAACAAACGAGAGGTTACCGTGGAAGAGGCAGAAGCTTGGGCAAAGCGAAATGGCGTATTGGAGTATGTCGAAACAAGTGCAAAGAGTGGTGAGGGGGTTGAAAATGCATTTGCAAGAGTGGCAGAAAGGATATATATGAACATCGAAGCTGGGAAGTATGACTTGAATGACAGGAGATCTGGAGTGAAGGGTCCTGGCTATGGAGGTTCGAAAACGAATGTTAAATTGGCCCCCCAGAAAGCCAGTAGTGGTGGATGCTGTTGAGCAAAATGAGGCTCGCGAGGCCAAATCTGTCACAGTAAATGCGGGCACACAGATATTGGGATTTGATCTCGATGGCTATACACTACTTACTCAAAGTCTCTCGTCAACCGCAGTTTTCCAAGAAGACTTTGTATATATTCTAGTGCGGGACTGGATAGTCTTGAATACCTTGTACGATAGGAAAGGTCCGAAAGGTTTCGGAAAGTTGGCATTAATATACCCAAAGCATGAGAATGAATCATGACGATGACAGCAATAAATTCTATTTTTATTTTTATTTTTTATTACTCTTATGACTCTTGGAAGTTCTGAGAAATCTGTGGGGTTTCATTTGAATAATTTGGGAAAGATTCAGAACACATGGCAAACGTTTTAGAAGCCTCTTGATGTCCTCTCCCATGGATGATAGCACTTTCTCATGTCATGATATCTTCTATACGCTCTACTTGGCCGAGTGAAGAAAAGGGGTTGATAAGAGACCATTGATAACCACTATCTCTATGGATGAAAACTACCTGAATGGATAGTGCCAGTAAGTATGATTGTTGTGTGAATGGTTACTTCCTTTCTAACCTTGGAGCAGCATGTGATATGTTGCGGCATGAGATAATAGGCCACCTATGTGATATTCTCGAGACGATGGGTAGCTTTCCTTCATGATGGATATACTTGAGAGGCAGATTACAACCTAATAGACGCTGGAAAGAGAAGTCGTTGTTGCAATGAAGAATATCACTATTCTGAGTTTCCAAAAAGGCATTGGCCGACTGGGTGTTAGGTAGATACTAGGGAGATATCGATCCTGACACTTCATGAATGCTCTAGATCCGTTTATTGTATGATGAGTGAGAAATAAGTATGTATGCTACCTTGGTACCATTTAGAAGAATGAGGAAGCTATCACAATAGAACTGTTATCGAATTAAAGAAAAGGAAAGGCATATCTGCTTCTCAAGAAGAAGAAGAAGAAGAATCAGCCTCATCATTCACGGAAGCGTAAGGTGGTTATCCCACCATTTCCCCATGACTTGACTAGAGCAAAAACTAGAGCAAAAATAGAGTTCTGCCCAATCTCACCGCGGATTTACTTAACCTACCTGTTCCCTTCATAAACTTTAATAAAGCACTTTCCAACAGAAACCCCGCCCAAATTACTTCATCATCCCTCCTTCAACAACTTCTCCAATTTATCATACTTTCTCCAGTACTTTCAATCCTTCAGCAATTCAAGAACATAATCAGAAATAATAATATTATATCTCATCAACACATATTGGAAGGCTTTATTATTTCATACAATCATGGCGAATCACTCCGTCATTCGTATTGCGAAGGTAAATTCATCAAGCCAAACCCCATGTGATGATATCACGATATGATATGCGCCAAATGTGATATTGAAAGCGCAAGGCTGACAACACTTGGGGGGAATTTTAGGAGTTGGCAGATATTCAAAGAGGTCCAGATCTATGTAAGTCAATGTAATGAATGTCTTCAGAAGCTTACTGCTCTCTTCTTGGATTCTTACTAACCATTCAATTCCATAGCTCTCGCAGTTGCTTGTCGAGATATCGATGTTCGAAGCGTTAAAGCAATTATAATCGGTCCACCAGATACACCTTACGAATTTGGGTTCTTCGATGTTGGTCTATCCAATTCACTTTTTTCTCAATATGAAAGACTAACATTTCTCTAGTTTGGTGTTCGATTTGGAAAAGGTAAGATTATGCGAATCGGTTGCACGTTGATTCGAAGCTGAAAAAGTCCATATAGATTATCCCACAAAAGCACCTAGTGTTATTGCGACAACTACGAATGGAGGAAGATGTCGTTTCAATCCCAATATCTATGCGACAGGCAAAGTTTGTTTGTAAGATACCCTTCATGCCATAATACGTTCAACATTTACTGACTTTGCTTCTTAGATCAATTCTAGGGTAATCAATAACCTTCAGACAATTTCTCTGGACCTCCGAAACTAAATCACATAATAGTACATGGCGAGGTGAAAGAGGAGAAGAGTGGTCATCAGCACAAGGGCTTGAGTCAATATTAATCTCAATCCAGAGTTTAATGTCGAGCAATCCCTACGAGAATGAACCCGGTTTCGAAACGGCGAATGATGACCATGACAGGAAAAACCAAAAGGATTATGCTGCAAAGGTATGCTTGAATTATCAAGGCTCTTTTTACTGGTACTGGTACTGATAGGACTGTAGATTCGCCATGAAACTCTACGAATTTCAGTCATTCAACGTCTTGAGGAATACTTGAACATCTCCGCAGCAGGAACAAGTCCACCATACACAACACCACCAAGCGATGATAGCGACAGTGACTTAGATCGAGATGTACTTGATGATTCTACCGTTGCATTCGAACCCTTCAAAGATTTTTGCAAGCGTAGATTCTTGTGGTATTACGATTCGTATTTGACGGCTATAGAGAAAGCAAGAAAAGAGGTTAAGGATCTTCAACCTTTTGCTCGAATGCCCTTTGAGGGTGGTGGAAATACTATGGAGGGAAAGTTCGACTACACTGAACTCGAGAGACGATTGAGATTCATTCGTACCACTTTGGATGCTGAGACGGCTCATTGGGCTACTGAAGGATTATTATCACAGAAGAAGGAAAGTGGTGTGGCAGCAAATCTTCAACGTCAATTCGAACAAGTGGTTGAAGCATACAAGAGGGACAAGTCCGTAACCCTGGATATTGAACTAGATAACAAGAATCCTTTCGTATGGAATATTACCTATTTCGGTCGCCCCATGACCAATCTAGATGGCGGGCTATTCAGTATTAAGCTATACTTCAGCCCAAGATTTCCAGAAGAGCAACCAAGAGCCAAATTTCAGACACCTTTATTCCATCACCGAATTGGACTTGATGGAACACCTTGTTATACTCCCAAACGCCCTGATGATGCAAAATCTCATATTGAGTCTATCATTGAAGCTTTAGAGGAAATTTCACCACCATACGATCCACGAACATTGGTGAATGTGGAAGCTTCCAAACTCTTCTGGGGATCAGTGGATGATAAGAAGAATTACAATCGAAAGCTTCGGAGATCGGTCCAAAGTAGCATGGAGTAAGTTCGTTTTTGAACTGGACTTTAACACCGTGCGATATTTCGAGCACTTTTCAATTTTCGGGTGTCATATTTTTTTTTCATATCACGGCCTTTTTTATACATAACAACAAACTTTCGGACTCCGGCTGCCTAAATATTGGCTTGGACAAACCATGGCGTAAATCAGCGGGAGTTTTCTTCATCATGTTCTCTATGGGCTGGCTGGTCCCAAGGGTTTTATCTTCAAATCAAGAGGCCCACTCCAACTTTTAACAGTGAGTTGGTTAAATGAATTAAGCTGGGTTGTTATGTCTAGGATTCAACGATTTTATTTGATATTGATGGGGGGTTATGATATCCGTGTATTGATTCAGGATTGGCGTTATGAAGAATATGGGTAGGGTATGGGCAATGGGGAAAAAGGGCAGGGCTGGGTCGCCATGGGATATGGTGAATATGATGGATCATTTGGCTTTTTCTTTTCCTTGCTACTCCTTGAAGAGACGATGGGAGTTGCTTGAATTATGGTGGGTTTGTAATGATGCCGCAAACATAAAAGGAGATTAAGCGAGATGGCAGAACAGAATGAAAGACGGAGGAGGGTAAAGAGAGATTCAGAGAACATAAGAGACAAATGATATAAGGTTAAATAGGTGACGATTAATGATGATCTAAATACAATTTTAGGAGGTTGAGACGAGATACTTGCACAAAATAATGAGAGAAATGAGTGTATGTTCAATGTGATTATGCCTTATTAGACACATCCATAGACACATTCCATCGTCTAGATCCCAATTACCTGGAACTGAAATATTGCTTTACTTTAAGAACCAGTTTTTAAATAGGCACTGTAAGAGTAGATGCATTCCAACGTATCTTTTCCTGGTGTCTTGCTCTTTGAATGGGGCCCAGAATTCATCGATGGCATCTTGAGGGGATATGTGCATGTAGGTACGTATTCATCCATTCATCCATTTCTCCATCTAGACTTTGATCCTGCTGAATCCTTGGAGAATCATATGTATATGGAAATGGAAATGAGTTTTTCATATTCATGAATAGGAAATGCGTGAGTAAGTAAGTATTTGTCTCTTGTTTTTGGGGGATATGTATATATATATATATGTATGAATGTGTGAAGTTTTCTACTCTACGTTTATTTTGGATTTTGGATTTATTTTGGATTTTACTTTTGCTAACATTTTGGATTTTGAATTTTGGATTTTGAATTTTGGGTTTCGAGGTAGATGTAATGTAATGTAATTAGGTAGGTAGGTAGGTATCGATAACGTGAACGTTACAGTATCGAAAATAACCTAGGAAATGAGTGGTGGGTTTTATTTTGACAGGAAAAGATAAATTTATGGAAAAGGGGAAATTTAGCTAGGTACCTAGGTTACTCCGGGAATATCAAGTTGAGTCAACATAGATCATAATCATAATCCTCATCCTAATCCTAATCCTACACCTCCCTCTTTTTGAATTTAGGGAGAGGAGGCGAGGCTTTTTTTTAGAGGATTAGAGGATTACGGAGGAAATAGGTTGGGAGGGATAGGTTGGGAGGGATAGGGGGTTTCCGGGAGGTAGGAAGGAGGTTTAGGGTTTGTGAGAGGAGGGAGAGGAGGGAATCGATTGCATACTCTGCCGCTGGGGGAATTATACAAAGAGAGGATTTATAGGATTTGTAGGGGATCTTTCGTAATGACCATTGTAAGGTATTTTTCCGCAGATACTTTCTGTAGAATTGTAAAACACCAAAACTGCAAAATTGACTGAAATCATCATTCCTGGCGGGCTAAATAGGCATTTAAGACAAATGATCGATTGAAAAAGATGATGTGATGTTACCTTCACTCTGTTTGGTTCAGCACAATCGACCTCCAAGTAGTAAAGTACCCAAATATCGAATCACCTCAGTTCAACGCCTTCAGCTCTCGCTTTCTGGGTCATGACAATAAAAGTAATGAAAAGATTCATTCTTATTTTGATCATCTCCTGATCTCCACTATCAGCTTGTCCCTCCGTCAATAGCCTAAAAGCCAGAAAAGTGTTAATACACACTGGGTACATATCTGGGTGTATCCAACACATTTTCTCATGCCCCTCGTATTATCGCATCTACCTTCATGCCCGCAACTTCCATGCTCCCTTCCATGCCCCTTTTCGTTATATCCTTCACTGCCCATACCTCATTTTCTCCAAACTACAACTAATCCCACATAAAGAAAACGCCGCAGCAATGCTCATTTCTTCACGGATCGTCCTGTGGAAGTAACGAAAATCCATTCCCAACGCCCATCCATTTTATCTGCATTGATTCTCTCCAAATGTTTTCCTTCATAGCTGCCTATTATTGCAGTAGGTATCTTTTTGTTGTCTTCAACGTATCAATCTCGATCAAATCCATGCTGGAACTCTTCTGTGGCTTCTGGCACTCGAGTATATACCGAATTTAAGTGAGTATCTAGTGACCAAAACCAAATCCAAAGGACCCTCTTAATTCGTAAATCCCATCAACTTTGTGATTTCATCTAATAACTCTGTCAAATCGTCATCGCTGATTTTGTCTTGCAAACTGGGTATCAGAGTCTTCGCTTCATCGGCCGTGTCGCAACATAATGAGCCTTTACATCTCATGTTAGTATTGCTTCTCCCAATGATACCCTCGTTATCCATCTTCCCCAAACTGCTCTCATTCTCCCCCCCCCCCCCTTCAACCCTCAAAAATCCAAGAATGACAAAGAAAAAACCACAAATCACCTACCCAACTGTGCCCTCTCGAATTTTGCCAATTCTCCCCTACTTCCCAACAATCTCTCTACAGCCTCCACATTTTCCTTTCTCTTGAATCTCGCAAAGTGATCCAGGTATTCTTGCGTCTTACTGAGAATCTCAGTCTCATTAACATTCTTGCGATCTCCACGACGCTTTGCGACAAGCGCGTTAATGACGAGTGCGGCTTCAGAATGAGTAAGTGCATCTACATCTTGGAATTCTCCTAGCTTCAAAACGGTGGATGCTTCTTCGTCGCCTGCTGGAGGAGCGCGAGAACGAGATGTGGGGGCTGGTGTTGCCATTGTTTCGAAGGGAAGGGTAGATTCGAGAAAGGTTGAAAGATGTCGTTTGTGGGGGAATCGGAGTCGGATTCGATAACTTCGATTGTTCTTCTGACTGATTGTACCGTCTCGAATTTAACTGTATAATTAAAGAAAATGGTGCTTTTCCTGAAATGGGCGCCTTACTTGTCCGAATCGACTTTGTGCAAAGACTCGATGTGCTTTGCTGTAAAAGTGATTTTGTTGACTTGAAAGGAAGAGAGAAAGAAAGTTGAGTCGGGGGCCGATCTATCAATAAACATGTGCTGGTCGGCAAAATCTCAAAATCCGGGGAAGGCTGCTTACTTAGCCGTTTCGGGACGAGGCTACAGACAACATTGTATTGATGCATCTTGAACTTTATATTGTGGATGTTTAATGAATGCGCCGACTTTGATATTCAATTTTTGATTCCTGAATCGTGTGGATAAGACAAAAGGACGATTACGAATGCGAAGTGTTCGTTGGATAAATAATTTCAACTACGGATAAACCTCTCAACTTCCTCCCTATCAATCGACCTTGAGAGTGCATCAAATATCAAGATGCAAGTTCTACTCCCAGCTTCCCAACGAACTCTCAGACTTTCAATTCTAATTCCTAATTCGTAGGGTTGTCTTTGCCCTCACAATAATAAATAAAGCTGGTGGACTTATCTACCAAAAAGATTTCGCAGATGGATTGAACAAATTATCTATAAATGACTATCTAGTGCTTGCTGGAACATTTCACGGGTACATGACTTCTCCCTTCCCTTCCCATCCATTTTTGCTTCCCAATTAGATCCATCTCGAACTTCTTCCTCTTTCTACAATCCTTACTAACAACTCCCCAGAGTCCACGCCATTTCCACTCGACTAAATCCCATCCCATCCTCTCACCTCACGTCAACAGGTGCCTCCTCTCTTCCTTCAACGTCCCACTCCAAAACGCTCTCTACGCTCTCCTCACTCTCCTCCACTCCCACCTCCGATGACCGACCAGATCCACCCTCCGGCATCGAAGTGCTCGAAACGACTTTGTTTCGATTACAATGTTTCCAGACACTCACTGGCACGAAGTTTCTCCTATTTACTGAACCTGGCATGCCAAATGTCGATAGTATATTGAGAAAGATATATGAACTTTATGCGGATTTTGTGATGAAGAACCCATTTTATCAGTTAGAGATGCCGGTCAGGTGTGAGAGGTTTGAGAGGGGCGTGGAGAGGTGGGTCAGGGGGGTTAACATGAGGTAATTTGGAAGGGGCCATGGGCAGATGAATCGATAGATTCACGTGGAGGGTCAACGGACTTGGGGAAAAGCGAGGTGGGATCGTGGGCTCAGAGGTTATATTTCCACTGATCAAAGAAGCGGGGAATGTCTCTGGATCTGATACTGGATACAGGAGTACCTGATCAGATCTCTCACATGAGAATCAGAAGGCGAAGGGAAATGTGAACATGATTTCGGGCATAGAAGGAACTTATTGGGATTTGAGTATTATATTTTTGAGGATACGTGCCGATATTTCACAGGCCAAACGTCAAAGGAGTCAAGGAGTAGACAAAGTAGAAGTAATTTGTTGACAAAAGAGCCAAATACCATTGTATGATATCTATTGGTACATACCAAACGCCAGTTTGCCATGCAGCCCAACCATTCATTCAATTAGCAATCCATCCATTCATTTCCCCGACCTATACGTCAAGCCCTCATCTAAGCCGTATCCATTTTATCATCGTCCTTCTTGTCCCCACTCCCACTGGCTTCTCCGTCCTTATTCAACAGAGGTGCGGATGCCTCATCCTCTTCCTTAATCTCCCCTAATGCAGATTGCTCCGCTGCTTCCTTCTCTAGTCGATCCTTCTCGTTTTTCTCGACTCGAGCCTTCTCGTCCTCCATACTCATTCTCAATGCTAATGCCAACTCTGGGTCTACGCTTGGGTCGATGCCAAATTCAAATGCGCCAGCATCACCACTTGTTTCAGCTCCACCCATACCAACTCCTCCAGTAGCTCCATCCCCATTTAGAATTGGTGAAGTCATTAACTGATCACTGAGAAGCTGGGGTCCTGGTGGAATTATGGCCAAATGTGATCCATCACCTCCCTTGACATTCTCATTGAAGGCTGTCAGTTTTTTGGTGACATCATCATCAAGTTCTCCGAATACAACGAAATCGATTGAAACGTTATTTTTCTTCATCTTTTTGGCGAGCTTGACAAGTGATTTTTCGTCTTCTGCGATTGGAGAGCAAGTAAAAACGATTATGCGTTGACGCTGGGATTTGTTTTGTCGATGTTTGAGTGCCAACTATGAGGATATCTACATCAGCATTTACCCCAACTAGCATCCCCAGATGATAGGTACGATTATAAACGAAATGTTAACATACACCGGCGATTTGAATACCAGTAGCTAAGTGACTGGATCCACGAATCTTAGTCTTAGTACGATGTAATCCATCCAAGATCTTTCCATGATCAGTTGTTAAAGTAACAAGAACCTCCGGTCCTTTACCTCCCATGGACATTAAACCAACTGAAGATTCTGGATTGGCTTGAGTGATGGTAGAAAAAATCCAAGAAACGGCATCGGATTGCGCTTCATAACGTGTTGGTGTATAATCTCCATTTCGACTGCTTTCACTGTTGTCCACCACAACCATTACTGCTTCGAGAACCATCTTGTCGGATTGGCTGCCGTTGGGCAAATGTGCGAAGTCTTTATTTTGGAAGTTGTATTTGAGTAGTGGAGTCGGATATGTGGTAGAGGACGATCGTAAGTGGTAAGTATGGACTAATCTGTTGATGGCGATAAAGAAGTTGATGTTTGTTAAGGTTGCTCAAGGTAGCTATGGTTTGCGCGTTAATGCTAAAGTACAGCAAGCATCGCTAGCTTCGGAGTGGTGCCAATCCCTGTAACTGCTTCAGAATTCGGGGAGCAAGAAAGTTTAGCCACTGAGCCACACATCTGTGGCGCTCAGCAAGCGACTTCGATAATGAATGGATAACAATCTACAAAGTGATGATGATGTTTATTCTCAATCTACACCACAACACTCTACATTCTACACTCTACACTCACCATACAACATCTCACAGCTTCAATTGTATTCACACAACGCAACAATCCAGAAGTAATCGAATCGCAATTAATCGCACGGACAATTAGACAAAATTCATAGAGTTTTACACGTATATTAGCCAACGCGAAATGGCTATCACAACAGGCCAAAAGCAAGCTCTGATGGAGAATTTGCAGTTGGAAAGTGAGGAACTCATCTCCAAAACGCGTCAAATTGTATGCTAATTCTTCATTTGAATAGTTACTGAACGTGCTAGAAAGCTCAGAGCACAATATAATGTTCAAGCTCAAGGATTAAAGACGCGTATTGAAATTCGCGTCAATCGCATACCTATTTCAATGCGCAAAAAGAACATTGGGGATTTGTTTGAAAAGCACAACAATACTGGCGCACAAGCAGCGCGTGCGGAAGTGGGACCACCAGTCCCAGCAAAGAATACTCCAAAAAACACACAAAAAAAGATTCCAGTGGAGGAGTCAGAAAGTGGTCCAAGTACTCAAGTCACAGCACCATCTCGTGCTACCAAGAGGAATAGGTATGTTTCTCCCACAAAAATATGGAACACATGCTAACAATTCAAAGTGACGAGGCACGCCTGGACAAGGAAAACAATATTGATAACCCAAAGAAACGTCAAAAAGCTGTTCCTAATCTGCCTGAGCGTACCACTTCTCGTGTGAATATGGACCCAAAACAAATCCTTTCACCAAGATCCGCTAACTCCCGAACTTTACCTGCCTCCCCAGTAAAACCCGCACCACCCGCCAAATCTACTACAGATTCTCGTCCGCCTACAAGAGCAGGACGAAAAGTCGCACCACATACGAATCCAGCCGGAGCTGCTACTAGTCGAGCAAGATCCAATACCGCAACTTCGGGTCCAAAGACTACACGAGGAAGAAATGTCAGTAATTCTAGTACAGACACTGTTGTTAAAAAGGCACCTGCTGCAAGACTCAAGAAGGTGGCACCTGCACCTGCGCAACCTGCACAGCCAGCCAGCACTGCTGTTGGAAGAGTGTTGAGAAAGAGAGCTTGAGGCCATTTCAACAGTTGCAATCTCATACATTTTTGCACCAAATTCGACTCATCTTTTGTTTATGAAGTACTGATCCTCGATTGAAAACATTCCTACTCTGGAGTGGAGAACTTCCTCTATGGTGTTTTGATTAAGAATGTTATGGGCAGTGACCCCTTTTTAATCAACGCCATAGGGCATCTAGAACCTTGATATCATGGCTTGTGGTTTTGAATAATGAGATCTTAATTTGGTGCTACAACTGGATTTAGTGGTTGAAGGGAAATGAAAAATATGATCCCTTGAATTGGAAATGGATAATGATGATTGTTTAATGTATCTTTAGCGATTGGAGTATTACGGGAATCTGCATCTTATCGGCTTCTCTGGGGTATGCATTGGAAGGCGAAAGATAATTGCATGAGCTTCTTTGGAATAATTGGAAGCAAAGGATGATTGGCGTCTGATTTTCTGATACCTATAAAAAGTCCTTTATTGAATGCCCCTGATGTTACGTAGGGAAAATTGGGATTCTCAACGTTCATAATATATGCTCTCTTGGTTGGTGCCTATTTAGGATTTGTGTTTTGTCTGACAGACGATAACTTCTTGTTCCGGCCTTGAACCTCCAGAAATGCACATAGATTCATTCTTAATTCAAGCGCAGGGAGCGAAGAGGGTTTGTAGGCTTACTCCCGTGAAAGCCACTTGGAGTTCTCGATTGATGACGCTTTGCTAGTCCTCCGAGTGCCACTATAGTCTACAGGGTGAGTGAAACATATGACAATTAGAATTGAAATCGAGGAGTACCTACTTCTGTAAAATGTCACATCAGAACAAGATATTTGATCCTCGTGAATAGTCACACCCGCTTATGATAGGAGACAAGCCAAGACACGGACTAAAGCGGCCGCTAGCTATCCTTCGGAAAAACTACCCCACCAATACGGTTCTTGAGCTCATCCATCTTAACTCATATCAAGTGTTTCCCCCCTCCAAATACATACAAAAAACATCATTGTAACTAAGAATATTTCAACCAAAAACACATCGATCTATAAGAAAATATGGCAGATGTAGAAGAGTCCACTGCGCCTGCAGAAATGCAATCAAGAAATGTTGTTTATTGTGGAGGTAAGTTTACATATGAATGAACGACCCCGCTATCTTGATCTCATGAAGACTAACAGCAGAGAATAGTTTGTTCGTTACCACCTGAGGTAGGCGTTACTCTTATTCTTCATGGGCATGGGGCTTAATCTGAATAAAGGGATGAGAATATCAAGGACAAGATCATTAACAAAAAGCAATTAGTATTGCGAATATGGCGGCACAGTAAAGAAATGTCAAGAATGGCTCGAAAAGAAATATCCAACCATGTACGAACGATTATGGTCTGAAGGTAGAGTTACCTCCCTATGTTTTTCTCCAAATGCCATATGATAAATTCTAATTCCACCCCTTCAAGATGCCCTCGCAGCAGCAACCTCCACCCTCAGTGTCGATGCTCAAAAACGCGCCGCCAAAGACGCCACCAAAAAAGCCGCCAAAGCCGAAGCACTCGAAGCCAAACAAAACGAAACTCTTGCAGCCTCTAAAATCCGCATCAAGCGCGTCGAGCGCAATAAACGTAAATACGTAACCGAAGTGCAGGGCCTCGAAGCATTTGGACTCGAGCTCAAAAAGGTTGCGAAGGAATTCGGATCTAGGTTTGCGACGGGAAGTAGTGTGACGAAGATTGCAAGCGGAGGACAGGAAATCACGGTTCAGGGCGATGTGAGTGAAGATGTGAGGGAGTTTCTGATAAAGAACTATAAGAATATTCCGAAGAAAAATATTGTACTTGAGGAGCCGAAGAAGAAGAAGGCGGAGCCGGTGGAGGTTTAGAGGGAGGTTGGTGTTGAAAGAAACGAACGGGCGGGAGTGTGGATTTGGTACGATTAGCCGGGTTAGGATTTGAGGAATACATATACCATTATGAAATTCGTTTTAGGGCACTGAAATATGCCTCATCCTGCGTTATACTATATAATGTGAGATTTGATAGGAAGGGAGGGTTGGATTCGATATCTCTGACTAATAACTCCTTGATTAGCTGGTAATGAGTATACATAAATTGGAAAAAAGCAAAATAATTGTAGATTCCACGAATTTCTTTAGGAGCCCTAGCTATTATAAACTAGATTCTAGCCTCTGAATATAGATCATATCATAGACTTCAGAAGCATGAGAGTAAAACAGGTGTCGTTTTCAGGGCATAAGAATAAGTAGTTGAATTTTGAGGGGCATGAGAGTACTTTCTCTAATCAACTTTCGCTTATCATTACATCATCTCGCTACTGATTATAGTATCCGGCGTCTTTCATCCCGTCCCACCCCTCTCAGTCTGTTCTCCCCACCTCTTTAAATTTCCCCCATAATTCCAACCCTCGAATTTTCTACACCTCCTCATTCCTCCCATCTTAGAGCTCTCCGAATCGATATGCAAAACCTAGTCAACCTACTTCACCTACTCCATCTACCCATTAGTCGACACCATCACAGAAGATTTCACTCTCGCATGCACAAACACTCCATGGTGTATATTGTTTCGGGTTATCCATTATGCTATTCATTATCTACATTTGAGATCCACCGCCCTGCTCCACGACTTGAAACTCATTCATGCGTCGTACTATGGTACTAAGTCAATACTCCTTCATGATCACATCGTTCTCCGCCTTCATTTAACTTAGAGCATCCATTAAGCGTGCGTATATTCTCTTCCTCCTTTCTCGCCTGTACTCGGCTAGTTTTCTTCCCATCCGCTTCCGCTCGTGGCTAAGGTATGTACAATGTGCTGTGATATATTCCTCCCCGATTTCTCCTCTCCAAACTCGTTGGATCGTCTTAGTGATCATTTCAATGTATGTAATAAATGCTCAAATCCGAACGCCGCTCTCATGCATTTCATAAATGTAAACATAAACTCCCTCATCATCCCTCTCCATCACTCAGATCATCCTCAATTCCTTCCTTCCATTTCGGCACTCCATCCATTATATTAATCCGATTCCCTAATCCTTCTTCTCACTCAACAATCTCCTTCCCCTTCCCCTTCCCATCCAAAACAGGCGAAATGGATAATTCTCCACCAGCATCATACTCAGACCAACTTAGTACATAATTTCGTTTTTTCTCCGTCCCGGACGAGGTCTCGGGCACCTGAGGAGGAGGCGTAGGCGCCACGATTTTACATTCAAAATTAAATCCCGGATGTGTATACACAGGTTCTGGATTCCATGCCCCGACATTTGCAGACGTTGAGCTGGGAGATCCAATGCTAGATACCGAGTCGGTGTTTGCACGATGGGTTTGGTAAGTTTGCTTGGGTACATTGGATTGCTTGGCTTGGAAGTCTCGATGTGAAAGAGGTGGAGGTAGATCTTCCTGTTTTCCGTATAGAGAGGCGTGAACCTGCATCGGTGCATTTTCATTATGTGGATTTGTGTCTCGTTCTGGTTCTCGGGAAATGGGTCGCGCATCCAAGGCGAGTCCTATGGGTATACTGTGGGTGCTGCTTTCTCTTGTTAACTCCTTGCTGGCACCTCCCTCTGAATGTACTTCCTGGCTTGTCGAATTCATCCTTTCTCGACCTTTTCCTTTCTGCATGTTTCTTTGTCCTTGGGCTTGTCCGTATCCTTGGCCTTGGGTTTCTGAAAGAGCTCTCGCACGTTCTTCCTGCGCTCTGACCAACGCATGTTGATATCCCATGTTCTGCTGATGTTCCCTACTATCTCTGTACATTTGATATGGATTTTGATGTTCATTTGTGCTTGCATTTATACCTTTCCCATAGCGTGCTGAAGCTAGGTTTTGGGTATATTGGTGCTGTGCTTGTTGGCGTGAGTATTGATTCTGTGCGTGTTGAGATGCCGGTGCTTGATTCATATCTGGGTTTGGATTGATCGAAGAGGAATGGGAGGAATTTGAAGAGTTTCCGCGACGGTGAGATTGTACAGGCTGACCAGATAGAGACAAAGGTAGATTGGGCGGCGCATTTGGATCCCAATATCCTTGCGTCCGTCCTTGAGCAAGATTTGTCGACGGACCCAGGATCACACTATGTGTGGGCGTACTCATTGCACTGACAGCTCCCTCACTTCCACTTCCACTCATTCTCTCACTTCCTCCGACAGAAAGGCTTCTTCTTCCAATTTCCCTTCCGTCTAACTCACTCATCGTAATGCCCATGTTGGATCGAGGTACGGGTCGTGGACTGGGCATTACTGGAAGTGGATGGAAAGCTGGATGTGAAGATTCGGGAGGAGGTACTAGGGATGATTTTTCAGGGTCATGGGAGAGTGGCCTTTCATTCTCGTCATCTTCTTGGGATCTGGGAATGAGTGAGGGGTGAATTGTTGGGATTGAGTGGCTTGGGACGGGGACTTGAGATTCGCTCATTGCTGTTGCACCCGGTGGTGATTTTGAAGGTGGAGAAGTGCTATTGGCGCGAGCTCCTATTTTGAAGGTTAGTATTCATATCACCACCAACGAGGTATCAAATGAGAAGATGTAACAAAATAAAATAGATAACTCACTTTCACCAAATGGTGCGAAGACATCCCCCAATCCCAATCCAGAAAATCCAGGACTTCTTGTACTCGTACTACTAGGCGCTTGTAATGTTTTTCCCGTCGTACTATAAAATTGGATGGTCTCAGGATCTGGACTTTCAGGTTCAGCGAACATCCTTTCTCTATCCTGCTTTTTCTTCTGGCGAAAACGGAAACAACAGAATGCAGCCATTGCGAAACAAATCAAAGCGACACTGCCAACGACTGCTCCAGCTATGATTGGTGTTGAATTTGATGATAAGGTGGGAGGAGTCGTTTGTGCGACAGTAGTGGGGGAAGCGGATAGGTTTTGTGTAGGTGCACTGACTGGATGGTTGACAGTTGTAGTTAGGAGGATGGTGCTTGGTGAGAGTGTCTGCGAAGTTGTCTGCGGAGTTGTCTGTAGAATTGATTGTGAGGATTGTGTAGTTTGAGATGATGTGGTTGGTGTAGTAGAAGCAGAAGTAGAAGACATGGATGTAGATTCAGATTCAGAAGTAGCAGATGTAGATGTGGATAGAGACTCAGATTCAGAGGAAGAGGTAGAAGAGGTAGAAGGAGTGGTTGAAGTACTCGATGCGCCAACTGCAGCGGTATTTGAATCTGGACATTCTGATACTGAACATGCATCTACAGAACAACAACCTTGGAAATCATTCGCGTTGCAAACATACCACTGTTGTCCTTCCGCACATTCTCGAGACTCTCGTATGAAGAGGGATTGATTGAAGCTTTGCGCATCTACATTGAGATACATCTTGAAGACTCGACCGAGAAGATAATTGAAAGAAGAAATCAAACAAATTCAAAGTCAAGTCTTGAAAAGGACCTCGAAAGTAATCAAAGGAAGATGGAGATCTCAAAAGTTATTAATAAAGTATGTGACTACATGGATGACTTCTCCAGATTATTTGTGTGTTGAATTAAATCGATATGACTGATGATATAATTGAATAGATAGAAAGGTGAATTGAGAAATAATGTACTAACCAACCTTGATTAATCTAATCAGGCAGTGTTTCTTTTCCTGTTCTTTTGATTTCCTCAAAAGTGAATCTCCAATAACCAAATATGCGAGGTCTGGTTCAAATGTAAAATATAAATCATATATATATATATATACTCGAGTATAAATGAATATTTTGAGTTAGACGCCCCTATGGACCGAAGATCAAACCTTGAACCAACAACAAAATTCAGCAAAATAGTGTAAGAATCTTCGAATTTGTAAATGGATATGTAAATAAAAATGAGGAAAATTTCAGGGCCGGGTAGGGCTATGATTATGGCTCATGAGACAGATATCTAATATATACCTGGTGAAAAGGTCTCTCGGTAGGTCGTTTGGATGGCACAGCACAGCTCTATGCCACTACTTATTATTACTTTTTGATATCCCATGTTGAGAGATCTCTCCTCGATACTACTCTACATACTTTTACATGGGTGGTAGTTGGGTACCCTGTATATGCAGTGCCGTAATACAATTTTATCTGACATTCAAACAGTTGGCCGATGGAGATTTAGAGGATGATACCTACCTAGGTAGTCAGTCTCAAGGTAGTGTAAAATGTAATCTAGGGCATAGCTTCGTGTCGTTGATTTGAGTGTCTGACGTATTGCCGTTGAATCTAATGAAAGCACTGCCCGAAAATTGATCAATTCTCTTCAGTCGATTGGATTATGTTCAATCGGAAGAGATCCCCCGCGCTCAGGGAAAAATGGCTGAGCAGAAGTAATCGCCGGATTCAGGTACAGCTAGTCTACATAGAGTAACCGTGGCGCTTAATGCACAAGGAAGCGATTGGCTGATGATTTTTCCCGAATATATATTAATACTGGCCCGGTCCCCCTTTTTTAGATGTTCCTCGGTAGGTAATGTGGCACAATATATCTCAGCCTCTAATGTAACAGTCCAATTCGTGGCAGATAGCTTCCAAGGTTACTTTCGTATGAAAAACTACCGTGTGCCTCAAATTAACTACCACAAGTTCGGGTGCTAGATCTACGATTATACAAATAACGGGAGCCGATATGAAATATAGACGACATCAGCTCATAGAATAGACGCATCTTCCCCTCATCAAAATAGGCACAAAACTCAATCTTACCGATTGGATCCATCATACTCCGCGCATCTTTATGACTACCCAATGGAGACATAAAAAAGGCATACCCATGACATCTACCCCTCCAATTCCATATATAATCGCAACCCGGCACAGAAGCGCAGCAACTACTTCTTACTCCGCGTTTCACTCCCATGACCCTCATTGGATATCATCTAATGTAGAAGCGCTGTGTTCGCCGAAGTATACCGATAGTTTGGTAATATACTTTGTTAATCTTGTGCTTATAGTAGATACATCAGCAACACTATCTAGGCTGTGTTTATTTATTGTATTATGAGGTACAGCATCTCGGAGTATGCATGATTATATTGCGAGCTGCGCAAAGTTCCAGAGAGCGGGAGGTCCCTATAAGGTTCTGGATACGAAGCCCAAGACATGAATCCTCGTGAGGTCACGGTTCAGGTTCTGGTGAGAAGAGATCGTATGTACGATATTAGTTGGGGTATCGAATGGTGGAGGTTAGACCCTGAACCCTCGTAGGTTTCATTCCTGAGCATCATTTTGTCTTGCCCAAAGCCCTGGATCAACGCATGGAGCCATTCTATCACATAGTCTTACCTTCCGATCAGCTTCCATGGTATCGCCAAATCAACGAAACGGAGAAACTATATTTGAAAAGAGAGGAAGAAGATGTGAGTAACGAAAGCGGATGAATTGAGGCGAGTTGGCAACTCAACATTGCAATTAGCTAGTAGGTTAATTAGTATAAGGTTAAGGTTGTATCACGTGAATTCACGCCCAAAGATCACATCACCCCAACATGATCTGATCCAAAGCAAAAAACGAACTACTCTGACAACATAGCGAGATGATTGACTCCCATCACAATGGTCAATACTCAAGTCTTCAAATGTGTGGAAATCGTAATGCTCCGATGGGCTGATCTTTATCATCTTACGTGATGAGTCTGGAGCGTATATGAACTCCATTTCTACCCCAAAGATGTCTGTATGTCTCAAACTATCTAGTCTCATATATGCTGGTTATTGCTACTGTGTTCCACGTCTACACACACAATACGAAAGATCATCATGGCTTCAAGATCGAGACTGCATATTGATCGAAAGGAGCTTTACACAGATCTAGAAACACGGATTCATTATCTACACTCTTTTCTCGACTTCAGTTCACGTGAGTATACAACACTCCATTCCCCCTGAAATTTGCTCAAACTTTCAAAATAGGTGACATAGAAGCCCTCATATATGGCTCAAAATATATCAAACAACTCATCCCAGCCGTCGTGAATATCGTATACAGAAAACTTCTTCAATATGATATCACATCACGTGCTTTCACAACTCGTAGCACAAGTTACGAGGGTCCGCTAGACGAATTGCCGGATGAAAATAGTCCTCAAATCTTACACAGGAAGATGGTCTATAGACCTATGTCACCTTAAAGTTTGTAGGTTAGGCTGACATGTTCCCTAGTTTCTGAGAGGCTATCTCCATAAACTCTGTTCAGATCCAAGCCAAATGGAATTTTGGGAGTACCTCGACAAAGTCGGAATGATGCACGTAGGACGTGGTCGAAAACATCCTCTACATGTCGAATATGTACACATAGGAGTTTGTTTGGGATTTGTGCAAGATATTATTTTTGAGGCGGTTCTCTCGCACCCGAAATTGAGAATGGAGAAAAAGATAGCGATTGTGAAGGCGATTGGAAAGGTGTTGTGGATTCAGAACGATCTTTTTGCAAAATGGTATGTGAGAGATGGTGATGAGTTTGCGGAAGAGATGGAGGAAGTGATGGTGGAGAGGGAGGGCTGGTTGAAGGGGAAGAAAGTCATTGATGGAGAGGAGAAGTCGGAAGCTGAAGGTGAGGGGATCGGCGAAAAGACGCCTACCGAGGATGAGAAAAAGGAAGTCTCAGCTTCTTGTCCATTCTCTGGGTTTCAGTTTAGAAAAGAGTAGTAATCTCCACAATGTATGAATGTTAATGGCACAAGTCGAGATTTCCTCTTTGAATATCGTGCCAGTACATCTCGAAATCTGTGAGGAGGAGAAAACTAGAAAAGTCTTTCCTTGATATACCAAACTAATCCATCTAGGTACCCTAGTGTTTCAGAATAGCAATGGACAGTAGCCGAGATATACCATGAACACTCTGCCTAGCTTCCTTCAAACTAGGAGTGCTTTGCTCTGTGGGTATGCACGAGTTCGTGATCTAGTGGGTCGATTGTCAGTGTCATCTTACACAGTCTCATGAGAAACCAAGGCTCGATATACCATCGTATCGGTACTTTAGGCAGTATCACTTGTCGAATGCTGTTTTCGCTGCATTCCCAGCCTCTCAAAGTTCTCGACCATTGTATCATTAAATCATCTCTCTCGATCCATTCCACGAACTCCAATATTCGATACGTCGAGGTGATTCCATTGAGACCCTCCTATCTTCTTCACCTCAACAAAACTATTCTCATTGACATCATCGTACTCGCTCAAATGTAATATAAATCAAGAATCCTGATGCGCGATGGAAAGAGAGTCTTAGGAACACATCGAAATATGTATCACGGCTTACAGATGAAGACATGTAGAACTGTCAAAGATGTAATCTGATTTCTAGTCGCGCAACTTAAAGATGATACGACGCTAGATGTAGCAACATTATGAGAGAAATTCAGAGAGAAACACTGGGATGCAGCACCGTCGAATAGTACAGGATAGATCACAGGTAGAGATTGGTGCACTTTCGGAGTGCAAGTTAATGCTGATTAATCAGTTACGTGAAAATGAGATAGTAAGACCACATTGTTGCGTACAGATTGAGGAGAGAGTTGCCTTGGAAAAGAGAGGAGAATGTCGATTGGTAGTTAGAGTGGGGTTTAGCGAGGGGGTAAGTTGGGGTTTAAGGGAGTCTTTTTGTACGCGTAGATACCCTAACAGATACTTCCAAGGTTATTTTATTACTTTTGTGTGCCAGAATAGGAAACAATCTTGTGGATTTTTATTGATCATTTGTGACTTGCATGATGTATGTTTACAAATCTCAAAAATCAACGTCAGATGACCTATGTTTGGTGTACAATTCAATATTGATCCTCAATTTCCAAAGATTGCAACATACATAGAGCCCTCGTTTGCATTCAGTGTCTTCAGTCTTAAACTTTTATTGTTTGATTCCATGCTGTAAATTTGGCCTGATTCTGCTACTGAATGAGTTATATTACAGCGCGTCCTCATCTTTCACCAAAATCTAATCACTCAAAGACCGACTAGACTGGGTTGGCAGTGAAGTAAACTGACCAAAATAGGCTTACTTCAAAGTTGCAATTGCACATATCAAGCATGTCTGCAGAGCAATGTTTCGTTCTGGATTTGTGGAACATGTCTTTGGTCCCAGTGTAGCACGAATAGTAAAATATTTAATATTAGCATGGCTAGATTAGATATATGTCATCGGTGTGAAGTATGATCTATGACTACCTATATAGACGACTAAGGGTATCATTCATTTTTGATTAAACTTTTCAATTAATTACAAATCCTCGTAACTGAGGAGTTATCTGAGAATATCTATCTATAAACGAATCTGCCAACACATCAACACCTCATTGGCTCTTTCTCTCCCCATCTCTCGCCTTTTCTTCCTCAAAATGCTTCACCGTAATCTTAAT